AGACAAAATCTTTTTTGATATTTTTCTGTTAGGATATCCTTCTACTTTTCGACATTTTTCCAACACACCTATTCTTTCTCTTATGCTATTCGTCACCTTCATGAACATTTTCTTTAGTGAATTTAAAACCAAATCAAACAAATAAACCAAGTGCAACAGATAATTATTTTAGTTTATTATCAAATGAACATGAACATAAAATAAAAATGCGTGAAATGTATTCACGTGTTGCACACGATATGGGAATGTTTCATTATCCCCTTCGTATTGCTATTAAACAAGATTTTATTCAATTAGTTAAACTTATTCTTAATTATAAACAATTATTTAATATGAAAATAGAAGAAGCGTATACAAAACGAACAGCATTACATATTGCTGCTGGAAAACGTTCAACTGAGGTTTGATTAACAACTTCTTTTTTTTCTTTTTCCAATTAAAATGTTTTCTTTTAAGATTATTTCTCTTTTATTAGAAGAAGATCAATTAGATTTAAATGGTCATGCACCATTAGATATTGTTTGGAAATTACTTAATAATTTAGATTATGAATTTGAATGTAGAGAAGAGACTTTAAAATTAATGTTAAGTCATAAATGTAAATTTTCATCACTTAAATCATTAACAGAATTTTATACAAATTCAAATCGAAATTATCAAGATACAGTCATGGAAGATGATAAATTTGATTGACATTATATTGGTAGTATTCTTAGAAATTTAACTCATGTTATGTATGAAAATGAACAATTAACATTAACAAATCATGAACTTATTGAATTATTTACGGAAGATTTAGGAAGTTATTTTGATAAAGTAACAGATGAAATTGATATAATAACAACCATACTTTCAACACCAAACACTTGAACATTCATCGATTTCACCACCACTAACTGAACCACTTCGACATTTTATTTATATGTTATTATTTCGATCATTATTTGGCATTTGAATATAAACAAGATAAAACTTGTCAAATATTTATTTACATTCATTATCTTCGGACTTCTTTTTTCAATAGAAAAAACTGATTTGAAATAAAAATATATCTTTTGATCTTTTTCGCTTGAATTGTATTTCGAGAAACTATCTATCTGATTGTTCTATTATGCTTTTTTTCGTCAATTCTCTAAATTAAAAAAAATACAGAACACAAATTGAACAATCAATTCAATATTAATTA